AAAAAAAACTCAAATCTTTTGCATATCTCAAAATTTCAAGATGTCATGAGTCGAAAAATGTAAAAATTTGGAAAGGGTCATTTTTTGACCGAGCGCTACACTTTCCTTCTGTATAACAGCCGGAAAAGTAAAAATTATCAAATACATATTTATATATTACTTAGAAGAGTCTTTTAGCGTTGGAAAAAAATGTTTATTATTCTAAAGTATAATTTGTAAAAACTAAAGAAATAATTTTTAACGATACAATAGCCACGATTATTATTTTAAAAAGTTTACGTTAGGCTTAACATCGACGAAAATTCAACGCAAAGCGACACTCAACGGAGAAAAATTTCAACATGGGATAGGTTAATATATTTTTTGTGCATGATCGGTTATCCGGAAAATATGTTAGCCGAACAACCTCAGTCCCCAGACCCGAGTTTACTTTGGAGCCTCCTTCCGCAAGCTTTTTACATTTGGTCTTGACTTTCACACATTTAACATCGTTCTCGAGATTACGGACAGAGAGCAAGACAGACAACAGTAGAAATTTATAAGTCTACAACTTTTTCAAATTGCAGCCCAATAAAATCAGTCATCTAACAAAATAAATAAATAGCTCTTATTTGTTCAAAACAGTTCAAAACTTTCGTTTGGTACCAATGTAAACATAACTATAGTATAAAATGGACTTTTGTATGATAAATGACACAACTAAATTATATAATTGCACAAGTTTAGATTTCTCAAAACTTAAAATTTTAATAATTAGCCAATAAGTAAAATTTTAATAGCGATTTTAAATATATTTACATGTGCACACATGTTGTGTACATAGTAGACAGAGATCAAATATAAAATTCTATAATTTAATAACTCTGCTCTGTTAAAAAATAAAATTTTTAGAAAAAATATTAAGTCTATGTAGAATACTGAAAATAAAAGTATAAATAATTTTTTACAAAAATTACAGAAAAAAAAAACAGTAATTTTAATATTTTTATAAAAAGTGAAATTAATGTAGTGTCAATATATTTTTGTATTGAATTACATATTTTAAAATAGATATACAAATATAATTTTCCTGTCTTCGATTCTGTTCTTCGTCACTTGTAAACTTTAAATTTTTATTTATCTTATTAGCATGTTTTTCAATATTTTAGGGTAAAATTATTTGTGAATCATATATAATCAGTATATCGTCTACGTATCATGCATAATATTTAATACCTTGAACTTGTGATGTCTTTTCATCTATCGGTATCATACAAATATCAGTCAATTTTGGTCCAGCAATTCCTTTCTTTTGTCGATAATAGTTTGCATAGATTTTAAAACAATTATTTTAAAATACGAATTCTATAAGGTTTAATTTTTTGTTTGTATGTTTTTTGGTAATCAATGTAATTTTCTTTGAGTTGACTGCGCTGCGGCTCACTCCTGCATCGTTGAAAAGACTTGCGTAGGTGCCTGACGTGGTTTCGCATGCCAGTGAGATCAGTATTCCACCAGGGAACGGTCTTACGATGGAGGGAAGTACGTGGGATAAAAAGATTGCAGGCAGTAGTTATGTTATTGATGGAGTTGTTAATAAAATTGTGGGCATCTTCCAAGTCCAAGGGGTTATAAATGGTTAACTTGGTTTGGAGGAAGTGAGTGAAGCCTTCCCAGTCGGCACAAGACAGGTTGTAACGCAGCGAAGGGTCGATGTCTCTGATGTTGGTTGAGGTGGTCATTTCAAAGTGCAGGTAAGCGTGCTCACTAAGCGAAACATCCTGGAGGACCTTCCAGTTTGTAATGAGATTAGAGCGGTCGAGAGAAGCAGTGGTGATATCTATCCAGCTTTGACCTCTGGAGCTAAAAAAAGTTGGTGGGGAGAATGGATCGTTGACAAGAATCAGATTGTTAGTGGCTAGAAAGTTTTCCAAGGCATCGCCTCTGTTATCCTGGCGGTCACCCCCCCAGGCAGGGGAGTGTGAGTTAAAGTCTCCGACGAGAAGAAGGTTGTTGTTTTGAAGATTGTTTATGGTGTCTTGAAGATGGTCCAGAAAGCTATGAATATTGTTATTGTAAGGGCAGTATACATTGATAATGATAAGACTGTTATTATTGATGATGGTTTCGATGCATACGATGTGTTCGCTGCTGTGTTGTTTATGAAGGAGAATCGGGAAGTTTTTGTTGTTTACGACAGTGATAGCCCAAGGGTAGTCCTCAGTACCCTTGACAATTGTTGAAGAGGTGGGAAGGCAGGCAGGGATGTTCCTTTGGCAGTACGGTTCTTGTATGAAGATAAAGTCATAGTTATTGATTTTAGCAGCAAGAAGGGAAGTGGCATCAATGCCTCTGCCCAAGTTGACCTGCAGGAAACTAATATGTTTATGGCTACTCTGATCCATAGTCAGTCCTTGAGATAATGTTCAATCTTGTTCGCTGGTATACTGGGCAGGAGCTGTCTCTTGCATTGTGATCAGTGTTTTTTAACTTATCATGGTTGCAGTTGCAGCATGTTGGCTTCTGGTTTTTATTGGGGCACTCCTTGAATGTGTGTTCCTGATTGCAGTGGCTGCATGTATTCTTCGTTTGGGAACACTCTTTGGAAGAGTGTCCATAGCCACAACAGCGGAAGCACTGCAGAACTGGGCAAAAGTCACCCACTCTGCAGCGGGACCATTCAATGTTAATCTTTCCTATCATGAGTAGACACTTACGAAGCTTTGGTGACACTTCTATAACACGATTTTTGTATTGGGCATCTCTCTTCCCTGTGGCAAATTTGACACAAAACTGGTTGTTGAATTCTTCCTCAGAGAATGTTTCGTTTATAAGGTCGTTCTGGTTGTATATGCAATGTGTTAGACTATCTTGTGTTTCGAAATTGGGTACGGAGTACAGTATCACATGCGGTTTCCTTTTCTTTGGAAGCCGGGTGGTAACATCTGGTAATTTTTCTTTAATACAGTTCTCCAGGTTAGCTATGTCCTCCTTCTTTTCCAGGTCTACAGCAACACCTCTACCAGCGATTTTCCTGATCTTGTTCACTCCGATTTTTAGTACTGATGGTTTGATCTCTTTTTGCAATAGCTTACATAGATTATCGCTGTTGCTTTTCTCGTCCTTACTATACACGAGGAGGACGTTGTTAGAAAAAACATGCGGTTGTTTAGTTTTAGTAGGGATATTGACGTTTATGCCGGATTTTAAAATGGTGCTATAAGATAGCTGAGTAGGAGCTGGTTCCCTTGCTTTTTCTATGACATTAAGTTTGTCTATTATATTGTCTTGCTTTTCAAGTATTATCTCGTCTCGCTTGTTCTCCATTATGCGGTCAAGCTTTGCGGAGATATCATCAAGTTGTTGGAGACTTGTGTAATTGGCAAAGATATCAATAATGCGCTGTGCACTGCGGATAATATAGTCTGAGTGCCTTTGGTTGATTTTTTCTTGTTTGTTGTCCGCTAGGTATCCCTTCAGTTCGTCAAGAACTTCAGATGCGGCCATGCGGAGATTGGCAGCAGTAGGGTCAAAGTCCATAGACATGATCGAGAAATTGTTGAACACAGAGTAATTAGTAGCTGAAAAAGCCTAGAGCAAAGTCCTGAAAGCTTACAGGCCCAGAGCAATCGTCGTTTTCGCAGGATCCGCCGAAGCTCAATGAATTTACAATCAGAGCAGAAGACTATGAAAAACCTATTACATATGATACGACCAGACACCCAGCAATTGATAATAAAATAACTTTCAATACAAGCCAAGAAGTAGATCTGAGTATTTTTACAGACGGATCTAAGAAGGGTAATAGAGTAGGATGCAGCTTTGTGGCCTATAGTGAAGATCAAATAATTGAAATTAAACAGTTTAGGCTTGGTGAACTTTGTACGAATTTCCAAGCTGAGACATTTGCTATATTAATGGCTGTTTCTTGGTCCAATCAAAAGTACGATGATAAAAAAATAACAGTTATTACAGATTGTGCATCTACTATTGATCTTTTGCATGTAAACAACTATCATCCTTTAGCAAATAAAATTCAGGATGTTATAAATTCTTCCACTAATCAATACACAATTAACTGGATAAGAGGACATCAGGGACATATCGGTAACGAAAAAGCCGATGAATTGGCTAAGGAAGCTTCACATAATGATGAATTGGACATATCCTATAACAAAATCAGTATACAAACAATTAAATCGATGTTATGGTCGGACCTGATAAAAGATTGGCAAAACGACTGGAATACATGTAACAATACTACCCATGATTACATCAAAGACATTCCTAAATTTCTTACTAACAAATGGTACGTTCCAAACGGTCAACTAACACAAATTCTTTCAAACCATGGAAGATTTCATTCGTACTTACACAGATTCAAGGGAGCAATAAATTCAAAATGCACCATCTGCGATTGCATTGACGGCAGTGATCACTACATATACAAATGCCCAATGCTAGAAGCAGAAAGATCAACATTAAGAATCTTACTACACTCACATGATATGGACTGGCCACCACCCTCATTGCAATCCATTTTTGAATACAAGGATACTCATGATTCTTTCTTGCAACTAGTCAAAATGTATTATTTAAGAACAAATGTACCAGCTTACACGATTTATTGATGCCTCACTATTATTAATAAAAGATCTGCCATACACAAAATATAAGTTAAGCAAAGCTCACAGGAAATCAATGAAACTAAAAGGCGAATAACCTAACATTACTAAATATTAAGAACTGTGTCTACTAAGTCAATGGATGGTCAATATCTGGACTAGTAAAGGTATAGCAGATAAACCTAGGACTATCTGCATATCAGTGCATTTTAATTGCTGGGAACTCGCTACCAAAGTGTACTTTAGGTAATTGGCAATTGTGGATATATTTGCACGACTAGCTCACTAGCCACCTCTTCTCACTCTTCTCCAAATCACACTGGTAGGTGTGACAATTGTAGATGTGACCATATGACCAATGAGTCATATTTACTCGGTTGCTCTCTTTATTAACAGCCATTTTGTGCCCTACAGATAAAATTATTTACAAACAATAAACAAGTATGTACTTAAAAAATGGGACTATATACATATATATATTTTTTTAAAGTGCAACTTGGAACTTTATTAAAGGACGTATCTTCCAAGGGATACAAAGTTGTATGCATGTGCGGTCCGCTCTTCTCTACAAACTTAAGCATTGATGGTTGGTGTAACCATGCACTTGAATCAACTAGATGATATTGCTTAGACATTTAGTGCATCATTGGTTGGTGTATCCTAGGGATGATTCTGGAGTGTCCCATGGAAGATTTCTTGCCCCTGCAACTGAAATCAACTGGTTGAATTCTGCATAGACAATCAGTGCTCGCCCTCTTGTTGATATATTGTTATCAATCTATCCATACTCTATGCACTCATAAATGGGACAATAACATTTTGAGTGCACGTTGGTTTTCGCTAAGTAGGAGCATCTTACAGATGACATTACTCAAAGCATAAACATATGCTATCCATTTCTCAAATGGGATGACTTCATTTGAGTGCACACAGGAACTTACTTGTCATCGACTCAGTCATCGATCGGCAGATTTATCAAGACTATTTATTCTAGGGGAAAGATATAAGTGGAGTGAATTGCACAACCGGAATAGAAGCTGATGTGATCTTGATACTGCTACAAGACCTTATGTCTATGGGAGAGGATCGTTCTAGGACTTAGGATCCACCTCAAGACTCTCTACACAAGGAAGAGGAGCATGTATTTGGACACATAGAATTTAGCTCATCGACGGTCAGACAGCAATCAACTGAAATTTCCAATGACCGGGCAATAAGGACCTCACTCACCTCAACAGACATTTAGAGATGTGTACAAATTACAGAATAAATGTAAGTGAATGATAGTAACAAATAACAACAAGCGTATTCTGACAACTAATGATATTGATATATATAGGTATATGCATATGTATTTATTATTCATTCTGTTAAAGTATATGTATACATATTTATTACTCAATTTGAATAGTATATGTATATGTATTTATTATTCATCTTGTTAATGAAGTGACACCTATATACAGGTTATTGTGCTACGCGATAAGATTAAATGCTTTAACACATACACAGTGTTAATAATTATGATTTGTCATAGAGTGGGTAAAGCGTAATATCTGTCGCATATTAACTACAAATTCTATAGTTATATGTCGTATATTAGTATAATAGCTATTGTTACAAGAAGTATTTTTTATGAATACTACTGTTTTGTTAATTTGTTTTATTGATACATTCAAGAGACATTCACGAAATAAGATAGATTAGTATAGCATGTATGTATATGAAAGGACACAGCTAATTGTCACATGCGCTAAAAGAACTGACTTGTGAGTTGAATTTTGGTAATGCCTGGAATTTATTATATTAACTTAATTATATCAGTTGACATATTCAATAGGTATACTGTTGAATGGCATATAACATATAATAATTATGTATGCAATTATTAATAGCTAGTTGCTATTTGTATTATACTATAATGTATTTGTTAAGCCATACTATAATGTTATAACTAAATGTCATACAATAATGTTAACAACCACATGTTATATTGTATTGTAATATACTATAATGTAATCCAATTCAATCATAATCGATACAATTATTGAGTAATGTTAATTAGATGTAATGCATGTATAGAATTCCTAATATTGTAAAACTTACACTTAAGAGTGAAGGTAATATCTGAAGAAGATAATTTATGAAATTAACACATCTCTGGTGTTATCATGCCACTGCAACCGTACCTAGACATAGAATAACTTTTGTAAGTGTGCACAATATAATTATTTTTCACTGTACATGCGTTTATTATTTGTATACGCATAAATTGTTTATATATGTACAAAAATTTATTTCACATTTATGTATATATGTACAAAAAAACTTATTCCATACTTATGTATATAACTCATATAATTGATATTACCCGGTAATGTATTAACGGCACCGGGATATGTCTGGTGACATATTACAATAAAATAACTGGTAACTGATAACTGGTGTTTTTCTGAATACTGTGTATCGTGCTGAATCGAACGTTTTTGATACTAGATTAACTTCTAAAGTATAATTGTTTTTTGTTTTTATATTTCTGAATATATTTATTTTGTTTGTAAAAAATAAAAAGATAACTTTTAACGATACAATAGTCACGATTATTATTTTAAAAAGTTTACATTAGGCTTAACATCGACGAAAATTTAACTCGAAGCGACACGCAACAAAGAAAAATTTCAACATGGAATATTTTTTCGTACATAATCGGTTATCCGAAAAATAAGTTATCCGAACAACTCCAGTTTCCAATTGATTCGGATAAACGACGCTCTACTGTATATTCAAATTTGCTGTGTTAAACACATTACATTTGTTTCAATTTACTACTTACTTTTCTGTACAATTACAGCAAAATTTGAGGGAAGTCGAAATAGAATAAATTAATAATCTACGATCCTGATGTAGAGACCGTGCCGTAAACTATCCACGCTCCAAGCAGCATGCCTCTACACATTTTTGACAAACACTGTGGTCATCACTTTACATTGGCAATTTCTGGGTCGAAATGAGATGTCATGTCATCCGCTCATATTTTCTACTGTCTCTGAACTTCTATGACAGATACCATATGTCGTATCTGTCAGCTATTTAGGCCTAGGCTCTATCCTGGAAAGATAGTTTAGTGAAATTTTATAAGTTAAAAAAATGATTAATGATTTGAAAATATATATCTCGAATTATTGTACGTATTTCAAAGTATCATATTTACTTAATGCTTATAAATATACAATAACCGATTCCATTGTTTAAATTTTGTGAATATAATTTAGAAAAACTAGAATGGCTTAATAAATTAATAATTAATCATTCTAATATAGAGATACCACGT